AAAATGAGTGAGAATACCAGTCTCACCTTTTCTACAGGAGGTTGGAACTTTTTCAACTTCTCCTTTTTGCGATCCTCAGACTTCATGGCAGCAACTTCTATCTTTTTCCTGAACAAGAATCAGCTAAAACAATGAGAGCGAACTGAAACCATCACCAAATTTAAATTCAACAGAAAAGGACCATAAAGCGATCCCAGAATGTAGAATTATCTCGAATAAACAAATGTTATAATAAAATTTGCATTGCATGGGAATCGAAAACCCATTCCGCTCGTGCCTAAGAAACTCCTATCCCTCTTATTATCCCATAGCAGCTGCAACGCAACTACTGAAGGAATATTTTGCATGGCAAATAGCTGTTCAATGGTCTCTCCAATTCCAAGGGAAACTCACACGGAGAGTTCATACGGAAAGAAATCATCAATGCATAGTGTTTTTTACTACTTTAGCTCTCTGTAGTGCCGCCACAGCTAATGTAACCTACGATCCATTTCAAAAAAAAAGCGTTCAACAAGCGGATGGTATGTTAACTCTAACGATAAGAGCACCCACCAGCTATCCTGTCCCCACCCCCTTCCACTCTCTCTTTTCCCTAGTTGAAAAAACGGATACTGCGACGGTGACTATACATAATAACTAATGTTACACGAGACACGACCCACGAACGGGTACCGTATAATATTATGGGCATTCTCGGTCAACACCGAAGCTTCCTGCTAGCACTACTAATTACTCGTGATCTCCAGGTTATCCTAAAGCGCGACTATAGACCTCATTCTCAAGCCCTGCCCATGTTTGCGCCCTTCCGACAAACCGTGAAAGCCACATGCTACCTCCCTCCGTGGGGATCTACTGAATGAAAAAAAAACATTCCCACTCCGACGTGGAATGTTTATGCCCCTCAACTTTCTCCAGCCTCACGGTTTTTGGAGAAGAGTTGTGGACTTCTGGAAATTCTCGCTTGCAAAAACATGTTTTTTCAACGGACACCACCAATCTCAACACCGTTCCTAAACCTACTGCTCATCCACTACTGCGAAGCTTCTTCAAGTATTTAGACTGCAGTTACTAGAACCGAAAAACAAAACCCGATCACAAACTTTTTGCCTATTTGAGTACTGTGTGCTGCATGAGTGAGCACACAGTACTCAAATGGTTATATGGTAACTAATATTACACGAGACACGACCCCCGAATGGAACTTGCAAAGGAATTGCGAGTATATCTAAAAACCTAATGAATTCCCATAAATAAAATGCTCGAGAGTCAGGATGAACACTTTCACACACGCTTATTGTCACTATAGCGAATAGCATGGATGAGTGTTGAAACAGGGCCGTACTCAATAAAAGGCATCAGTATTAAAAGCGACTTGCCGCAAAAAAAACTTCTCAAAAGTACATAGCAATATGCCATTAAAACCTGGCGATGAGGGAGCATTTTGTATCCGGGGAATTCACATGTACTGCTGATTGCTAGATGAG